TGATCGAACTTCTAGAAGAAAGCCAAGATCAAGTCATTGGTATACGGAAGTTGTTGGCAAACATTTCACTGATGCCGAGAAACATATGAATTGATCTGCACTCGACTAAACGATGAGCTCTCTCCCTCTGAACATACAGTTGAGGAACCATTGGAGGTAAAGAAAAAGGTTGCTATAACAATCTATTGAATGGCTTCCTCCACAGAATATAGGACTGTGGCCAACCTTTTTGGTGTCGGGAAGGCAACCGTATGTTTCTGCGTCCATCAAGTGTGTGAAGCCATCATGAAACTTCTCCTGACTGAATACGTATTGAATGATGTTATCAGGGGCTATGAGGAGCGTTGGGTATTTCTAAACTGTGTAGGATCTATAGATGGCAGTCACATCCCTATCATAGCTCCTAAATATTCACACGGTGACTACCTGAACCTTGAAGGGACGCTGTCGGTGTTTGCAGAAGAGGATGTACGTTAACGTCGAATTTGCCTGCACGGTAATAACATGCTGTGTTGTCCTCAACAACATTTGCGATAGTGCACATGACCTCTACAGGGAGGATTGGGACGCCGAAGAAGACAAAGAAGAAAATGACTACCAACTGGATGTACAGGATGGGGGCGACGAAGGGATCCAATGAAATCGCGCTGGCTTTCTACAATGATGTGTTTTAAAGACATTATTCATTTGTGAAGACATTTACTTTGAGTAAACCATGTATAGTTCATATTGGTGATTATTGTAAACATTTACACTTGTACATGCATGTGTTTCCAAATTCGAATTAAAGTATTTTGTGAAGATGTAAGCAATCCTTTCTTTTATGTCAACACATCAATACAATATTGCAACACATTGACCTTAACCTCAAAGAACAATTTGACATGACGTTTTGCATTAGCTATAATACACACTCCTAGCCTCAAAACCAGGATCATGATTTTTGAAACGGTAAGATACGCAAACATTTGACGTTAGTGAATGACAAGTCATGGTTTCAACAGCATTATCCTGAAATCTGTAAGGATAATTACGAGAGCTTTCAGTAATTATTCAATGCTGGTAACAGAGGGTGAAAACCATGCTTTTTCTTCTTTTCCGAAAAAGTGAAATGTGCACTAAATCTAAAAATCATAAAGAACATGAATTATTACAAGACTTATATCTAGATGCTGTCTAGATTGCTCAAATGAACATTGTGATTACAGCAGCACTAAGAATATGTCTGGACAAACACCAGAACGGAAACGAGTCTCAGACACAAACTGGAACTAACTCGATAGGTGAAATGGAAACAAAACGCCAATGAATCTTCATGGCGGTTGATGAGAACACAGAATTGAGCAATAGTTAAAATAATCATGAATGTATCAGATATAGTCTTGTGTCATTCATGAAGTCTACAAATTGTAGAAACTTGTTCTGTCTTCATTATCAGTTATCCAAGAATCGTTAATTTGAAGATTGTTGGTTGACTGTCGAGGAATAGCGTGATGAAGGGCCCGGACCTCTGACCGTTACACCTCCATCATACTGAGCTGTACGACCCGTGCTGTATGGGACAGGTGGGGGCTGTTGTGCTGTCCCCCATACAGCTCTCATAATCATATTCATCATGTTGAATTGGTGCTGTCTCTCTTCACGCTTCTGTCTTCCATCTGATTCAATATTGGCTTTCTCGACATCAAGCTTTTGGCGTTCAAGTTCTATTTTCTGGCGTTCAAGGTCAAAAACCTAATCATCAGCTCTCTCGTTTGCTGCACTAAATTCATCCATCCATCACAGATTTCAGTGCTACTTCCATCCTCGTTTTCCGAGCTCTTTTCTTCTCGCTTTTCACCTTTTCATTTTCCCCTTCAGTGGATTCCTTTCTTTTATTCTTTCTGCTTTCCGTGTCAGATGCATCCTTTTCATCCCTTTCAGTTTCATTATCAGCAAGAGGTGTAATGTCAGGACAACTGTCATCAACAGCCTGTGTGTTTGCCTGTGCTGTATCATCAGGTTCACAAGAATCCCCTCCTTCATCTTCGACTTTCTTGGTCAATGTATCTATGACCTTCAGAGGCGACGAGGCTGGTCTGGTACCAAGAATGGCGTCCAGTTCTTCAAAAAACTTACAAAGTTTCCTTCCCTTTCCACTTTTCTTCAGGTTCGATTTACACTCTCTGTATGTCCTCTTTAAGGTATGGATTCTCACTTTACATTGGTCAGATGTCCTGTTGAATCCTTTTGCAGCCATTTCCGTCGCGACAGTATTGTACACCGAAACATTGTTGCTTTGGGGGTTTTCCAGTAATTCCTCTATACTGTTATCTTCCCAAATTGCCAATAGGCATTTTGTTTCCTCGTCATTCCAAGCGGAACCGCGTCTTTTGGCACCGCGAGTTTCTTTCCGGTTCGTGTGTCTGTTTTTAATGGAAGCTAGACATCAACTGATAGATATGTGACCAATAAGGCGTGTAAAGTTTAGGCGGGAAACCGCCAAAATAGACATTTTGAAATCGAGCGGGAAAAATACTCACCCTGAGTAAATTTGTTATGCGTTTATACGACCAGATTTGCTTAGGGTAGCAAAAAATAAGCATTTACTCACCGGTAGTAAAACTTTCGCACCTGGTCTAGGCCAAGAGTATTTTTGCTTGGGGTAGTAAAATTTGCATATGTGTAATTGTTTATTACTCATGTAAGCAAATTGGGCAAAAGTAGTAAAATTTAGATCATATGTGTAATTGCGAGCAGTTTATGGACGACAAAGTTTACAAATATACACCTAGCATGTAAATTTGCAAATTATACACATATGCAAAAAGGGTAAGAAAACGTAAACACATGTGCAAATGTCGCCGTATAAACAGGCCTTTATAAGAAACGGAAAATCTCAGAAGGTGACAGTTCAAGTGATGATGAATCTACCACCCAACAGTCTGTTGATAATGATGAATTCGGGGATAGTGTACCTCTCGGAAATGAAGATGATGATGATGAAAGTAATCAAAAGGATATGGCAACTGATGAAGAAGAAAAGGAAAAACAGGAAAAGAATGATAACTCAAATCTGAAAAGAAAACAAGTAGATGCATAAGATGATGGGAATTAAAAGAAAAAGGATCTCGAGAACACAAAAGGTATCTGTAACAAGAATAGAGAAACAGCTGAAAAGGACAAGCCAAGTGAACCGAAAAGACTGAAATAAAAGCTAGGAGTTGCTATGAAACCACTATTGAAAGGAGTTCGTGAATGAAAAAGCAGAGGACAGGGTCTTTGATCTTGAGAGGAAAAAGCTGCAGCTGGAAAAGCAGAGGCTAGATATGGAAAAAGCGAAGATGGAATCTGAAGAAAGACAAAGGCCCGAAGAAAGGGATCATCAATTAAATATGATGAAGATGATAATGGGCATTGTTAACAATCAACAGACGAGACAGGTTCAACCGATGTCATCACATGTTAATACAGGTCAAATGTCATATGGAGATGAAGTTCTGATTGTTGATCTCAAGGATCATCTACCTCCGCAGGAAGCTCCCAGTCATCTCTTTCCGGGTCATCGTGGGCAAATGCAGATGACTATTCATTCTTTAATCTCTGAAGATGTGGTGTACATCAATGTATAGAGATACAAAAAACATTCATTTGTGGTTCCAGAGAGGACATTTCTTTCTTAATTATGCTGAATGTTTATTCTTTTGACAATGACAGTATTATTTTAATATTTCTGAAGATTGATATGTAGAATGAAAGAAAACATTCTTTACTGAGGTCATCAACATCTACAGATCCTGAGAAAATGAAAGAAATGAACATTCATTTTTTTACAACTAATAGTGTTTGTCAAATAAAGCTTCATTTATGGTTCTTCAGAAATATATTCCATATGCCTTAGGTGATTGACGTCTCACTTCAAAACATATAAGTATGATCAAAAATGTTTCGATTTTTATCCGAACTGTAGTTTATTGTTATAAGAAGTAAAATTTTTGAATTTGATTTATTTTGGATTTTCTTATAAACAACACATAAATGTTTTTCAGTCGGTAATAACAAGAGAAATGTCTTTCATGATGATGACAGATCATCTTTCAGTCTATTACATATCAGATGGATTTTTTCCTTTCTCATTCTGAAGTTTTCAAACCAATCTGTCTCGTTAAATCGATGTAAAACGATGCTATCATACCATTGTGTTGATCTAGGTTTTCTTCTCATGCTCCTGCCAGTGGTACGTCCAATACTCAAACCAACACTGAGGTAAAATGACAGCTGAATTTTTCTGTGGAGCATTTGCAGTCTTACCCTGTCCATTGTTATGTCAGAAATGAATGTTGTTCAATGTTGTTGTTTTCTGTTTGCTTATATGTCACCCTAACCTCGTATGAACGCGTAGCAAATATACTTTTACTCATGTTTGTAAATCTGCATATATGCCTTCATATGGATGGGGCTTAAGATAGTCGATCTCTCATACTAAGACCCGAAAGTCGTATAAACTAGAGTTCTTTTTCGAACGAAAATGAGTAACCATTGTTTATCAATCACTTATCTCTGTTCAAGAAACATGTCTACCAGAAATCCCTTTTATATACTTCAAGAAGAATATGAATATCTGAAATCCAATTTACAACTAAAAGGTACAAATCTCATAGACTCCTAGTTCACGAAGTCATAGCGAGAGTATGTCACCTCAGACACCTCAGACACGTTCAATGGGTGAAAAATCAGTGGACTTCACGGACCAGAGTAACCCCACGGCATCGGCATTGTTGGGTCTGGCTTGTTATAGTATGATGAATAGAAGCATTGGCTGGAAATGATAAGCGTCGGTTTGTCTTTTAAAGTGACCATTACGAGTTATGTTTCATAAATATGTCATGCAAGAAGCATCCAACTGCTTAATTGCGTTTCTTTGTCCATTCAAAATACTCTTTCTCTGATTCAAATCTAAAACTTCATTCAGAAAATGACAAATGAAAACATTCTTTGTCACAATAACTTTGCCTCTTCAGTGAACCAGATGATATATAATAAGGGAATGGCAGACGACCAGGAATCTATGGAGGAAGACCACGAAAATGACTCTGAGGATGAAAACACTGGCAGCGACAGTGATGAGGACAGCGGACAACAGGTGAGGCTTGTATCTGTTTTACCTGCAGGACAAACCACTCAAAACTCCACATAACACTTCAATGACACATGCAAAATCAAAATTCTTTTTTCAAGTGAAATATGAGGAACTGTATTTGCCGATATTCTTATGCATAATACATGCAGATGCTTCTCTATTCCTTTGCCAGAGTTATAGTTGATACGTTCAGGGTTGTGTTTCCCCATGAACAATAAAAATCCCCAATCAACAATAACAATCTCACACAACCAAACAATGACTCGGCAATCTCTCCATTTTCGTCCTACGGGATGATTGGGACAATCGTTTGTTTTCTATTCCAAATAATTCTATTTTTTTTCGATCTGTTTTTCTTTCGATCCTGCTTTTAGGTCTTTTATTCATCATATATAAGTATATTTAGGTAAACCTCACTCCGACCCATGATCCCCAAACTGTATGAGATCGGGATCAAACCCATATTGTGTCCCTGAACATTGCAAGGTCAATCGTCTTCGTCTACAGAAAAGCTTTTGAGCAGTCAGCAGAATGTCATGTTTACCGATTACGTCGGCACAAGCGCTTAGGGTGAGAAGAAGACTACAAAACATTAAACATATGCACTGTTATCATTATTATTCAAAGATTCCGGAGACCATTTCTGAATCAGTAGAATCTCATGATATGTCTGCAGTAGCGTCTTGGGAAGTGCATTCACTAATGGACTGTGAAGTCAAATATCTCGGAAGGAACTTAAGAGGAAGAGCCGGCTTAAGGACAACATCTGTACATAGACGTTTCACTTCAGCTCTGGGAAGCCCACTTCAACACGGAAATCACAGCAGGACTAGAGAATGAGGAAGCAAAGATTTCGAACCAGTAATTTGTGAAATATATTATAGGACTAAGCAAATAAAAATCCTTATAAACATGACATTTCACGTCTAAACTTCACGTTTCACTTCAGCGCTGGGAAGCCCACTTCAACACGGAAATCACAGCAGGAGTAGAGAATGAGGAAGCAAAGATTTCAAACCAGTAATTTGTGAAATATATTATTGGACTAAGCAAATATGTTCCTTATAAACAAGACATTTCACGTCTAAACCTCACAGTAAGATCAAGATACATCCTTGGAGCTACACATTTGATAGCAGATGCGCTGCACAGGTCAAACAGCCATCCCAAGAGAGTTCCAGATCCTTTGGTCCTAGTGTCATTTCCCTCAAGAAGATGAATCTCATTTGTAAACATTTGAATCGGACTCGTCCAAGTCAGAGAGTGCATGCCCCCTTATTTCAGATCATGAGTGACACGATTCAGTTAAGCTTACAACCTATTCTCAACATAAGGATCGGGACGAGCGGGACTATATGTCTATGCAAGTCTGATGTTGTGTCGAACTCAATTAAACCTTCTTTGACATTATCTAGAGTCTGTACTTTAATATGAAAGTATATAACCCCAAATATACGATATGCTGCATTATGTATCGGTCACGTCAGGGACGGATACTAGCAGTAAACATGTTAGAAGTAGAGGAGCATTAAGCCAAATGACTTTGTTGGGAAACCATGGTCAATGGTCTTCTCAAATTGGAAGTGACGGCTGTGCTTGTTGGATGGGTCGACTAAAGCGGCAGACAGTCGCGCATTGACTGATGACGCATGCCATCGCACCCAAATGCATATGATATCACACAGTGGATCGTCAACTATTGACGCTATCTTCTTAGCTGGAGTCATCACGTAAATGCTTTGATTTAATTTCGTTTCAGTCTACGAATCATTCCAACAGCCATATACTCATTTGCGTTCATTGCGTAGCAGTTGTTATTGTAAGAGGCTATCGGAATATTTATGCATTTCATTCATATTAGCCCTGCTAAACAAGACACAGCTTGTTCTCTGAAGTGTGAGTTCGTTCGTATGTACTTCGTAATTCTGAAATGTTTGATTTTACGTGATTGAGTGCTTAGATTATCAGTTTCATGATATGCTGTGGAAAGCTGACAGTCTCTATAAGTGTTGTTGTAAGTGAGTATAGGGAATATTATTTGGCGTCCATTAAAACCATGCTGTTAGTAAGAGATACACAACCTGAGCTTGGACAACTTACGTGATATCCTGTAGACCAGTCTGGAATTGATGTAGGTTTGTAGTGAAGTTGGCCAAGTTATATAAGGGACGACAGCTGTCAGTCCCATCTGCTAAGTCAAGCTGCTGATATAATAACACATGTCCTTACCTTGGAGACATGGAACAGGGGAACTGCATTTCGCTGATAATGACCAATAACCAAAAAGTTCCTGAAATGTATAATTTTACGCGATTATGCTTGAAACAGAATAAAATATTAGTGACAAAAGGATAAGAGAGTCACAGTTTCCCTATTCTCAGCCATGGACACTTAATTTTGGGATCCAAGTTAAATTACTGAATTTCACAACTAGAATCTGTTGCATGAAGAAATCTGCTTTAATGTGTCAACTTTTAGTAATCGTAAAACACAAGAACATTTCTTAGTGATTCATATTTGTTGCAAATGCCCTTCCTCGTAGGGAGCATATTTTGGTTGTTTGAACCGCTATTTATTGTCGACTGTCTTCGTCTTTTAGCAATGGCTAGCTTTACGTTCAAATCTCAGATTCACGGTCTGCACATCAATCACCATACACAATCGGGTGTATTTTCCCAGTAAATGTCTTTGGTCTGATCCAGTTTGTGTTGACCTCTCTTTTAGAGCGAAGTTCTGGGTTAGAACTGGTCTTCAGCAACCCTTGTTTGTTGGGTGACTAATGGTATCGGGTGGTCAGGCTCGCTAACTTTGTTGACACACGCCATCGTATCCCAGATCGATGCCCATGCTGTGAACCACTGCATTGTCTGGTCCAGACTAGAGTATTTACACACCGCCGCCATATAGCGGAAATATGTCTGTGTGTGGCGTTAAACAACAAACTTTTAAAGCTGACACATCAAGATACCAGGATACTCTTCCAACAATCATGTGAATTGCTAAAATCAGAGTTTTTTTCTTCTCTCAGGTGAAGGGTATTGAAGATTTCGTGAGAGATCCTCGGGAGCAGGATGTGACCGTGCATGTCAAGGTCATGAAGGTGGGACAAGTGGAGGAAAAGTCCAAAAAGAAACAGTTCATGGCCACTGTGGCTGATGCCACCTCAGCTGTTCGCATTTGTGTGAGGGAGGAAAAACTCTTTGACAAGTTCAAACCGGAAGTATGCATTATTCTGAGAAATGTCACCTGGAACGGGAAGGTTTTATTCACTTAGTTCTCTTCCACGGCAACCTTTGCCGCGGAGATTCCGGTGCAAGGAAATATCACCGCCGATGCTTTTGGGGAAAGAGAACCACTGCCCATATCCGAAGTCCCCAGACAGGATAATTTGATCAGGTTTAGCTTAAGAGGAAAGATTGTGAAGGTTGGTGGGTATTTCAAAGGTTCTTTAAGTGATATTGACAAGGCACAGCATTTTCATTAATAGCAGCTGTATTTGATTTTGTTGTTACCTCACAGGCATGACGCTTTATTGCTGCGCCAATTTCAAATTCTACTTCATCAAATGTCTATGTTATCGATTTTACCGTGAAACGTGGTTGAAACATTTACAGTTTGACATTTACTCGTGAAATCCTGACCTGGTAGTTGAGGATGGGGTTGAGGTTAGGTGAGGTGAAATTGGGTTTAACGTCGTGCTTGAGAATTTTTCGTGCATTCGTGTGTATGTGCGGCTGCTTGTACTAGCCCAGACTTTAGCTGTTTTTTTTTTTGTATAGTGCTATCCCACTGAGATACCATGCCACAGTGAAGCATGAATACCCCACTCAGACACATTACGCTGACTCCCAAACGACCAGTCCTTGTCGTACCCATTAATGCCGAGCGCCAGGCAGGGACCAACAAGTACCATATTTTAACGTCTTGCTATGACGCGGCCGGGGATCGAACCCGCGACCTTCCGCCTCTCCAGGCGGACGCTCTAACCACTACACCACGGAGGCGGTCGGTAGTTGAGGCCGGAAGGTGGAAGGTATTAATGTTATGATTACTATTGTGATAGCGATAGTCTGTTGCGACAAACTATTGCAATACTATTGCAATAGTCTTTTCTTTTGATATGTCTCATTTGAAGTTATTTCCCAACTGAATGTATAGTATATTTGCAATAAAAGCAAGTCAGTCTCTTTTTGAATAACTGACAAGAAACTTGAAACCCAGATAAAGTAAACACTTAAAATGAAGCTGCAAGTCTGCACCCTGACATCTTGTATTTTACGCTGCGCATTCATGAACGGAAGTCAATTACTAAACTATCGATAGTCACACATACTATTAATGCATCGATAGTTTTTCCTTTCTCCCATCGAATAATTGCTATCGGAGACTCAACAATTACAATTCATCGATAGTTCGATACATCGTTAAAGCCCTAATTGTGACCAACTATTGCAAAATGAGTGTTTAATTTATATGAAATAAAAACAAGTTGAAGTAGTTTCATTCTCTTTTAATGATTAACAAGAAACTTGAGATCCCAATCAAGTAAACAATTAACACATAAACTCAATGAAGCTGCACCCAAACATCCTGTATTTTGCGCTGTGCATTTATCATCGGAAGTCAATTTCTAAACTATCAATACTCACACATACTATCAATCGTTTTCGTTTCTACCATCGAGTAATTGCTATTGGAGACTCAGCAATTGCAATCCATTGACAGTTCGATGCATCGTTACAGGCGTAACTGTGACATGCAGTCGTTCGTACATGAGCACATGCAAACACGTTTGTTGTCTTGTATGGTTTCTAGCTTGTACATCCCTCATATGGCATACTGATACATACTGGTTCCAGTTTGCGTTATTTACATCGAACTTGTCTGTTTGCGTGCATCATGTCACAAAATATAGCAGTGTATGATAAAATCACACAATCTGATGTTTATTGACCTTGAAACTGAGACAATGTGTTGTATGGAGTTTCAGCGTATCTGTCTCTTTTACTGATATTAGAGTAACAATAGTCTTCTCAAGTTTCATACATGAAGTTTGAATAAGAGAGAAATATGTATTGCACAAAAACCATCGCATCTTGCTGTATCAGTTGTCTGTTTATCTCTTCAAGCAATCCCCTCTCACAAAACGGAAGTGCTATAAGAAGGTGTTGTTGTATCGCCAAGTTAAGCTCAAGGATGACACTGGTTTTGTCTACATGGACGCGTGGGACAACATTGCTGAGCAGATGCAGCTTGGCGAGGTCTTCAAGGTCAACTCCTGCAAGAAGCGAGAATCTAAAAGGCCTCACGACCAAAGGGTGACAACAACACCAAAGTCTTCAGTGATGGTAATCCCTTGGATTATCTGGTTCAAATGGGATTTTGCTTGCATTTCTTGCACGTCAGTGTTTACAGTAATTGAGGCAAACTACTATGACACATTGCATCAGGTAGCCAATATAGTTTAACTGATAAATATTTCATCAACTTGATATTAGCGTGTTGAACTGAGTTGGTGTCAGCTATACCATACTGGGCAGATAGAGGTTCAGGCGTGTAGAGAATATATATTCTATCATATTTCGAGTCGGTACTAGGGATGGCTAAAATTATCGATAATGGGAAATATCGACAGTAGGAAAACACTGTGTATGAACACTGTGTTATCGATAATTCATTAATAAACTTTTGTGATGTAAAAAAACTTTTGATTTACGTGCGCACTCTACAAAGTTGGTCTTTATTAATGTTCTTCTTCAGTTATGTTCAGGACGCTGTTTTGTTAATAATCCATGCATAAACATGTCACCACTCAACAGTGATGTGAAATATATCAATTTCTTTCATACATTTTATTTTATTTTGCTACTATTATCAATCTCTATGATCTATATCGATAGCCAGCACTAGTCAGTACACGTTTCAGTTTGGAGCACTATCAGGTTTAGTTGTCGTGTGTATATTAAACGATCTGTCATTTGTATTTCCAGCGCCTTCCTAGCTCAGAACTAAGTCATATCCTGAAGGATCCTTGTTACCAAAGAGGTACGCTTGTCGGGATAGACGTCACACCGTACATGTCATGTCCAACCCCCAGATGTTTCCGTTACCAACTGACAGACGGGCTATGTGAGTCTTGTCAGCGTCAGATCCCATACCAGGACCATGTGAGCTATGGAGTGGCCATCATTGACATCCTGACACAGAAAGGAAACATCCACTCACTGACCGCTTACTGGCCAGAACTCAGTCAACTGTTCCGATTGTTCATGAAGACCCCACCAGGAATGGATAAAAAGAAGATTGTTAAGGACTTTAACGATCTCGTTAACAGGACCGTGAAGTACGCTGCTTGTGGGATCGTCAGCAAGTTTAAACTGTAGACAGAAATACAGCCCCCTGAGTGTCAGGTGCTGGCAAATGTGTGAACTTCTATCTGTTACATGGGTCAAAGACATTAAGCTGAGATGATGAATGATTAGGTACTGCTATATTTGCAGTGAAGAGATCTTTGTTAATTTTAATATATTAAAAGATTTATGAGCATTAAACCTCAATGCACTGTAGATTCAGTATTTAGTGAAAGGGTGTACAAAGAGCATTTGCAAGCGTTACCAAGCAGTCAGACGATGGTGAACTTTCTTCCTGACAGGAATCAATTTTACGAAGATCGTAATTTCTTGTCCTACACCAAGCTTTCACGTATATATTTTTCAAACTGCCTTTGATAAAAATCTATTATTTATCGGCCAGATGCACCCAAAACTTTTTGGCTCATTCTTTAAATGAAACAGAATTGTTTCTGAAATGTCAGTGCCGGTACTTCACACACTGTTATATTGAAAACGTAACAGTCAGGACAATTTCAGTAACAGTATGGACAATCTAAAGTAAAAGATAACATGTACAGAATCTAATATTATTAATGTGACAAAATGTTCTGGTTATGCTTTAAGTTTTATGTCAAGACTATGTATGTTCTCAATTTCCAAATTTCAACAGTTAATGAACATTCACGTTCAACAAAACAGGTAACACTGTGGACAAACGTGGTAACAGTATGGACATATTTATTAACAGTTATTAAAAGACACCCTTTACAGATATTTGTACACTGATAGCTAGAGAATTATGTTCGCTTGTGAGGATTCTTAATATTTTCATAGCGTACTAAACCTAAATATAACATTTACAGAATCTAATATGATTAAAAAAATATAATTAAAAACGTAATTTCTGGTTTTGCAATAAGCTTTATATATGACAACTCAATCAAGCTATTCATATGATAGGGAATTACGTACATAAATATATTTACACTACACTGATAAAACTTTTGTTCTATACAACATTGCACTGTAAATGAACATGGCAAGATTTTGTAACATATTTAGATTTTTACTGCTTATAAGAGTAGGGAATTGTATGATATTTGGATGGACATAGTAATAGCTTTCAATATATGTTTACAACGCATTGAATTATATGATGGACAGATGAGAAGAGAGTGATATTCGTGTTCAAGTTCATTTAAATTTCAAAGTCTACATATTCTACCTTCTTTCTTAACATTTTTATATCCCCTGCTTTCAATCAACAAATCGTGAGATAAACATCGGAATCTTGCTAGTGATCGCATAAATTTATTTATATTAACACATAAGTACCCTTCATTGAATAGATCTTTTTTTTAAATTTTGAATAATAAAAACACTTACTTGACAAAGATATTTGTTCACACCATGTTTAATCATATATGCCTTTAAGTCTTATGGTTAACGACTGAATGAATGACGTATGGTATTCTACATACTGTGCATTCGAAACGTTTTCGAAGCCAATAGAGAATAAGAAGTTCTTAACATGAGATGTCCAATGTCTTTGTCCATTTTCATTATGCAATAACATCATATTAGAACATTTTTTTCGTAAAACGATATGGAGGCATATTTAGCAGTTTTTACCAATATTTGACAACTTTTATGTTTGTAAACAAGTGCATTGGATATCTGCCACATTCACCGTAAACCACTGCGCTAACTGTATTCAGCTTGACACCAGGATATTTATTGCATGCATACAAGTGTTTCTTTCTATTTGATGAAAGTCTGCTAATCGATGCGTCAAAACTGGGTTTTAACTCCCCTTCATAGGCAAGACCTCTCACCACATCAGCCGTCTCCTGAAGCGACAAGCAGGCATCGAAACCTACTTTACCAGCTCTACACCACTGAAAACATGGCAGGAACACCTCTAAACAACAACCTCAACCCAAAGGTGTTGTCTATAAAATCAACTGGGACTGTGGCGAGGCCTATATAGGCGAAACCTCCCGGCCCATAAATATCAGAATCAAGAACACTTATCATCTACTACTAAATCTGACAGAAAATCGGCAATATCAGACCACATCATCAACTGCCCCAATCACAACATAATTGGGGACAATGTGGAGATATTATTAAAAAACCACCAGGACTTCACCAAAAGGAAACTTGCAGAAGCATTTCAAATCCGGAGACACAAGCCCTCAATCAACAGAGACCAGGGATATCTCATCCCTTCTGCATACAATGAACTGATAAAAAACAACAGATTAGAGCACTTCAGCTATCATTGTTAATTAATCTCACCAGCGTGTATATTTTGTTTCTACCTCCACCACCATTGGCTTCCTATTGTCACTACATTATTGCCACCGTGCCTTGTTGTTGTTGTTAATCCCCTTGATTCATTCCTACATGTTGTTATTACTTAATCCCTGTTCATGTATATAAGTCTGTTCTGTGCCGTAGTACTTCACTCTTGCTTGACAACGGTATAAGAATCCATACCGAAACATCGCATCATATATAATAAATAAGTTGTTATCCATAAACTCTCTTACTTTCTTATGGGTTTTTTTTACATCAAAAATCTTAAAAACGATTTTGTAATTTTGTTTGGAGGCCACTAACGGTGCTTGAAAACAACACAACGTCATCTGCAAACAACACAAGGAAATTGTTGACTATTCCTGGAAGAAGTTGTTTGCCACTTGAACAATTAAAGTTTCGATTTCAACAGCAAGCACTTGGATGAAGAATGAAAACAGGAATAGACTAGTATACACCCTTGCCTTACACCAAGTTGTAATTCGAACGTTTTCGAACATTCTTGATTATTTTTAACACATGTATTCACGTTCATACATATACGAGAAAAATTACTCATTTTGTTACTAAGACCATGGCGTTGAAATAGAGACCAACGTTTGTTGCGTTGAACAGAGTCCAAGGCTTTTCACCATGTTTATGAATGATACCAATCGTCCAACAATTTGGGAAAGTACCATTTAGTAGTTCTAGGTATGGTGCGATAAGATCTGATGAATGTCTAAAGACTTCTTCTGATATCATGCCATAATTTGTTTGAATTAAGATTGTAAATACTTTCGAAAATCTCTTCTCTAGTTATTGGTGAATCAAGTACAGTTGCAGTAAGTTCTGAGTTTTGCCGGTCCAGGTTGGCCTGACCTGTATTGTCATGCATGATAATGATGGTCATTGTTATGATCTACTGTATCGACACCACAACAGAGTTGCCTAAAGTGTGCCAACCAACCATCTATCTGAATATCGTTTTGCTTTACTTGATGGTTATTCAAACGTTTAAGTTCAGACCAGAAATGTTTGGAGTTAGATATGCTATTTTCTATTGTTGTTCGTTTTTCTCTAAATTAGTCAAGAGGTTGTTTTGTTTTCTTGCAGAGTGCATTATATTGGTTTCTTACGATGCAGTATGATCTAAGGAATGATTGTCTTTTTATTTCCGGAACTTATTGAGAACTTTGCATCTTTTGTTTTTAGTTTTTTAGTCAGAGTCAAACCAACTTCTCAAGTATGTTTTTGATTGATCTACTATTTTCTCATACACGAAGCCGCTGAACAGATCGCATCTGTCATATATGCTGTACCATCCGGTCCATCGTCTATACTAGTGAAAGCCCAATCAACTGGTTTGTCTAGCAATTCCTGAACTTTAAAGTATTTTCTCAATTTCCAACATGTCAACAGGTAATTATCATTCATTTTGGAAACAAGAAGTAACACTGTGAAAAAAGGATAAATGAGCATTACGTTAGCTTGTAAGGATTCTTTACATTTCATTGCATTCTTTATGGTAACGTGTGTTATAACATGGATAAACCTTTCATTTAAACAATTACAACAAAAGTAATACTAGTATTTAATTATATTTCTCATTGTGGAATATTTCTACTTATGCAAAAAAAACTATTTCATAAAACAGAGAGGGCACACATTAATTTAATTCTATGGTAAAATTAAAATATATTTAATTAGAACTAAGCAAATTATCAAATAAAACGATGGTTTTGTGTGATGTTGGCAATTATTTAGGTTTGGAAAAAATGCTGTATAACATTCTTCATAATGCATAACTTTATGATTAAAATTAGCTCACCAAGTAGAGTATTCTGTTTACAAAAATAGGATCATGAATATTTTCATTATATTATTATCTTAATGGAATTGTGTGATTAATTTTCACTTCAAATGATATGCCCCAAACTATTTATGATCACTAACTGTATTCTATAGAAGTCGCACACATTAATTTCATGAATTACAGTAGACGTTTAGACACAAATGTTGACTTCGAATGGGGTTAGGAGACAGAACTGGTAATCAATTCTCTAAATATGATTATATTATTTTAAATTTTGGATTGCTTGAGGGTTTTGTACCCAAACTGCTGCACATTAAAATACTTAATGATCAAAGTGTTTTCTTTATTGTCTTTATTGCCATTGCACTGGCATGCACTCGGTAACACTGCACATGCACATCGTATCAGTTTCAAGTAAATTTTATGAAATCCTTCTGTCCATAAAAATGTGTATTGGACATTAGTCCATGATATAATACAGGTTATTATAAACAACTAAAGTCTGTTGACATTATTGCCTCTTGCATTACCTCAATGACCTAATTACATACATTGGAACTAATTCCGGTTCCTGTATAAACCAAACTGAGTTGGGTTTTTAATCTGGTTATTATAGCAAAGAGACAAGCATGATATGATGGGAATGTAATCTGTTATTGGGAGACAAATGTGTTACTGAGAATCTATTCTACTCTATAACAAAACTGAAGTTAAGCCAGGACGAAGGTT